GAGCCCGATGCGGGACTCGATCCAGGGACTCCAGGATCATGACCTGAGCCGAAGGCAGTTGCTTAACCAACTGAGCCACCCAGGCGCCCTCTTTAGTGTGCTTCTAATCCCAGTTGTAAATCATGACAGAAGTCTGCTGGGGCAGTTGATGACAGCAGTGTGTATTTGGGGTTCAGATTGACTCTAGGGTTTTTTAAAAAATACTCGTTCCTTTAAAGTAGAAGATGAGCTTTTCTTTCTTTTTCCTGAACCCTCTGTAAAGTTTTTGCTACAAATGTTCCACATTCTAATTGCTTTACTAATAGTATCGCAGAAATAATGTAGGATGGTGTACTGTATTATTGTTGGTAAAAGAAGGGACAATTTCTGGATGAGGTTTCCTTACTTGCATCACTGTGTCAGCAGCCATGCCAGGCAATGAACTCATCTTTCTAGCGGAAGGATTGCATCTGTGTGTGTGTTTTGGCAGCATTGACATCAGTACAGAAGCTAATGGGCATAGTCCCATGGCCTCCAGGGTCGTGGTTTCGTTTTAATTGTGTTAAAATTGCAGCCTGGAACTCTGTGGCTGTGGCTTTTTAAACAACAGGTGATGAGTCTCTGTCCAGAAGAATGTTATTAATAGGATCGAGTGGTTAATTAGTCTCATGGTCTTAGAAAGCAACCCAGATCCTAAGCCCCCTGATGAGCTTGAAGGAATTGTTCACTCTGGTTAATCACAGCAGTCTTTCCAGAAGCTGTTAGGATCTGCCTATAAAGGACTGTTTCCCTTGGTGCTGACCATCTTTGAAGGGGTTAACAGGCCTCCAGAGCTTCCTCCTCCCTTCCCCTTCAAAACACCTAGCCCAACTTGTCCTGAACCAGTAGTGGGTTATTGATGGTAGGGTGGTTAGGCCCTCCTCTCCCCAGGCTGCCCTCACACTGCTTGTCCACTTTGATTAAATGTTTCCAGTTAGCTGTTGAGATTGCATGAGGGTGCACAATGGCTGCATGTTCCTGAATAAAAGCTTTCAGATGTGTGCTCATCAGACGTGGACAAATGGAAACAGAACGTGTTCTCCAGTTTACTTTATCCTGAGGAGGTGTCCCTGAGTTTCAGTGTTAAGAAGACACACTGCCCTCAGTAGTGTACACACGGCACCTATTTGGGAGAGGAAAACTTGTCTTTATATTGTTTGAGGTTTCGGTAAACAAACAAGCGGGCTACTTCATACTTGCCTGTGTCTTACATGATCAACTAAGCTGTGTTCCTTCTTTCTAATTACAGAAATCCATAATCATCAGCCGTGTTCAAAACTTTTTAGGTAAGCCACATCCTTCTTTGTCACTTTGAGTCCTTATTAAAAGATTAATTGATTAAAAACTAGTGAATGTAGGCTTGTAACTGACTGTGGCTCTGAAGTGACAGGTATAACTGGGGGCATCCAGATTCACTGGTACGGTCAGTGTGTGCTGGTCATGGAAAGGGGAGGGGGTGGTAGAAGTCGTGGCCTCAGTGGTTTACAGTGAAAGTCTACTCTAGCAGCCTCCCAGGCAAGGGCTTTGCAGCTACAGAGCAAGAAGTTAGTCAAGAATCACATACAGATAAAAGAATTTAATGGGTGTTTTTAAGAAGAATAAAAAATGTTCAGTGTTCAACTTTAAAATGTAAGGAAAGGGAACATGGAACTTTCTTTTTGTGTGTATGTAAGTTAACATACACCAGTTGCATACTAAGACCAACTAAAGGACAGCAAGAGAAAGAAATGGGAGGAGTGACATTCAGAAGGGAGGGAGCAAATGACAGACATGTGGGGGGTGAGAGAGACAAGGGCCAGTAACCCCCATCCACCAGACTTCTCCCCAGACAATATGCAGGCCTCTGTCTGCTCTCAGCCCCAGAGCCCTCTGTCTGCTCTCAGCCCCAGAGCCCTCCACTTGCTGGCTGGTATAATGATTTCAGCTCTTTCTTAAACCCCCCTGAGAGTGTGTTCTACCTTCCCAGAAGCTAGTACCTCCCTTCTCCGAGCTGCCCACAGTAGTAGGATTCAGCGTTCTTGGTCAGTACTCCCTTCTTTAACACCTGCCAGTCCCTGGTGCCCAGCTGTTACTGCTGTATGTCCCCTGCTGCTTTCACCCTGACCCCTGTCCCAGTCTCAGCTGGCCCAAACACCTAGGCCCTTGCACCCAAGAACTCCTGGGGACCCCCGCCGTCCCACCACACACATACACACACACACACACACCTATCCACTGATTATTTTAGAGGATTGTCCTCATGCAGCATGGTTACCTGTGGACAAAGTCTGAAAACAGCCAAGATTCTCATCACTTCTGGATTTATACGTAACTGAAAGAGGAGTGGGAAGCCAGACAAGCAGTGCATTTGAAAAGAATCTCAGAGCAAATGAAATGATTCAGGCCCTGGTCCACACATTGGCTGTGTTTGGTCCATGCAAGTGTCTGATTTAGCCCTGACTCTTCAAAGCTCTTCTAGGTGCGCCCTGCCTTGCCCTTCTGAGGAATTCCTTACAACACTGTCAGTAAAGGTGTCCCAGAAGGATTTAACTAAGTTTAAATCATACACCTATAATTCTTAGAGCTGAAAGAAACCTTAGAAATCATGTGTCTACTCCACACTCTTTCTTTTGTGAAAAGGGAAGTGGAGACCACATAGGTTAGGTGACTTGCCCAAGATCATACAGTGAGAAACAGAGCTGAGCTGAGGCTGGTATCTCCTGACTCTCAGTTCAGTGGGGTTTTTTTTTGTTTTGTTTTATTTTGTTTTTGTTTTTTTACTATCTCTTGAACTTCTTACTGCTTTATTTATTTTTAAGATTTTTAATTTATTTATTTGACAGAGAGATAGAGAGTACAAGTAGGCAGAGTGGCAGGGAGAGGGAGAAGAAGGCTCTCTGCTGAGCAGGGAGCCCGACGTGTGGCTTGATCCCAGATCCTGGGATCATGACCCGAGCTGAAGGCAGCTGCTTAACCTACTGAGCCACCCCAGGCGCCCCTTCTTACTGCTTTATAAGGCCTGGGCTTAACGTTGGTGGGAGGAGGGAGGAAGGATGGCATTCCCTTTTTTTTTTTTTTTAAAGATTTTATTTATTTGAGAGAGAGAGAATGAGAGGGGGAGGGGCACAGGGAGAGGGAGAAGCAGACTCTCCGGCTGAGCAAGGAGCCTGGTGTGGAACTCGATCCTAGGACCCTGGGATCGTGACCTGAGCTGAAGGCAGATGCTTAACCAGCTGAGCCACCCCAGGTGTCCCAAGGATGGCATTCCTAAAAGCACAATCAGTGGTAAGAAAGCCCACGCATCATTATGCCTGCTCACCGTAGGATCCTGGTCAGGTAGGTCTATATGAGGGGCAGACCTGGCTTCAAATCCCAGCTCTCCCATCTACTACCTGTTTGGTTTGAGGCAAGTCACTTAACCTAAGTATCTTTATCTACAAAAATGGGAATAAAACTTGGGACATGTTGGGCTGCACTCTACCTACTTAACAGCATTGAGGCAAGAATGAAATGAAATAAGATGAGAAAGCATGCAGCTGAGCCTCTTAAGCATTTAACAGATGTTCATTTCCCTTCTGCATTTCTCAGAAAATGAGCGCCTGTATTCTCTTTTCTCCATAAGTAACTGATACTTAGAAACAAGGAAAAGATGTCGCAGCCATTGGAAACCACACATTTCCTAATTACTTGCTATCAGTACCTCCCACATGTGGAAGTAATACCCTTTGAATGTAGCAGTCTCTTGAGTATTCTTTGATGCAAAAGATACCTTATATCATCAGTAAAGCATTGAGATTGATTTCTCTGGTTATCTATTGAAGATAAGCAATTATATCTTTATATCTTGATTACCAACTCTTAGGATTCAGTGACCCATAATACCACGCAATTTTAATAAAATATATTTTCTCTTTAAAAAAAAAACAGTTTTTATGACTATGCAAGCAAAGTTAATGAAGAGAGTTTGGACAGGATTCTTAAAGATCGGAGAAAGGTATGTTCTATTTGTTGCCCAGTCTGATTTGGAAATCACTCTTTATCTTATCACCTAAACTTAAAACCAGACAGGAACGTAAAATGAAACAATATGATTTGATATTAATGTATGAAAGTTCTGTTGACTTAAGTAGATTTTAAGGGTAAATTGCAGATCTGAGACGATGTTTATAACCTATCAATAGAAAAAATTTAGATATTTATAGTGTGATTCCATTATGTAAAAATCAGAAGGAAAAACAAGAACTATAGAGAGTTAAAAATTAGTTGAGTTGATTCTGGGTGGTTCTGCTTTTCTCTTTTGTTATTTAAAAAATAATTTTGCAAATATCTTATATACATGCATTAATTTTATAACCAGGAAAAATATTTCTAAAAAATGTAAGTCATAATTAAACATCTCTGGATGTTACCCTTTCAAGTTCAGTTAATGTCAAACATAGATGTTTTTCCAAAAGGTAATGTGTTCATTATTTCTGTCAACATATGCATATAATGTTCTGATTATGTATGGTAAGCAAGTCTGAATAGAATTGAAAATGAACCAGTTTTATTGCTGCAGCATTGTCTGATGATCTCATTTATAATTTACTCTTTTGTACCATGTGTGGGTTTTACTTTTCTACCTTGAAATATTAATTCCAGAAAAATAGATTTGTTATTAAACCATCCCTTGAGGAAAAAAAATATTAAAAATTTTCAGTTTGTCACATAGAAAACAAAATGCCTTTGTTTGGAAGCGTGTATTATGAAAAAGCTTTTAAAAGATTACTCGTGGAAAAAAAGAATCAGCACTGTGGGACTTGGTCCCCAAGGTGTCTGAAGAAGGGCATCAGGAGTAAGTTACAGTGCAGTCAGAGTAAGTCAGCAGCTTTTCTGATCTACGGGCTGCCTCAGTAGGACCGTCAATTGGAAAAGCAGAAAGCAAAGCAGGTAAGATGGAAGGAAGACTGGGAAGGCTGGAAGAAAGGACAGACAGCTTTGTGGATGATGATGAGCTCAGGAGGTGCTCAGTCTCCGTAGAGTCACCCCGTCGCTGTCCGCCTGGGAAAGGGAGTTAGAGCAGTCACAGGCATTGGGGTCCAGTGCTCTTTTTTTCAATGACTTGCCCAGGAGCATATATTCTAGAATCTCTCGGGAGTCCATCCTTCCTATCCCAACCACTAACCTATCTCCTCATTCCATTTATTTTCATATTTTAGACAATGAACTTTTATTACACTTTCTAAAACTGAAATTTATTCCATGAAAATTCTCATCAGAGCACAGTTTTCTAGAGCACTCACTACACATTAAAAGTAACGGGAGTATTCTTTTTTTTTTTTTTTTAAGTTTTTTAAGGTTTTTGTTTTTTTTTTAAGATTTTTATTTGTTTATTTGACAGAGACACAGCGAGAGAGGGAACACAGCAGGGGGAGTGGGAGAGGGAGAAGCAGGCTTCCCGCTGAGCAAGGAGCCCGATGTGGGGCTCGATCCCGGGATTCTGGGATCATGACTGAGCCGAAGGCAGTCGCTTAACTGACTGAGCCACCCAGGCGCCTTTTTTAAAGATTTTATTAGAGAGAGAGAGAGACAGACAGCATGAGTGGGAGGGTTAGAGAGAGGTGGAGAAAGAGAATCTTAAGCAGACTCCACGCTGAGCTTGGAGCCCAACTTGGGGCTCAGTCCCACGACCTGAGATCATGACCTGAGTTGAAACCAAGACAGGGATGCTTAACCGAATGTGCCACCCAGGTGCCCCGAAGTATTTTTTCTAAATAGATGAAAAAATTTAAAGTGACATAAATGAATAAAGAATATGAACAGGAAATTCACAAAAGAAAAAAAAATCCACAAATGGCCAAGAAATAAATGAAAAGATGTTTATCATCAGTCAGGAAATGCAAGTCGAAACAGCATGATACTATTTTTTTTGCCCATCAGATTAGCAAAAGTGTAAAAGGATTGCTAATACCCAGCTTTGGTAAGACTGTGAGAAATGGGGAAGCTGTAGTTGGTGGGAATGTAAGTTGATAAACATTTAGGAGAAGAGTTGTGCAATAACAGAATTTTATTTTTTATTTTCTTTATTATTACTATTATTTTAAAGTAATCTCTATGCCCAGCGTGGGGCTCGAACTTCTGACCCTGAGATCAAGAGTTACATGCTCCACGTACTGAACCAGCCAGGTGCCCTGCAATAACAGAATTTTAAATATGCAGTTCCACCTCTAGGAATCTGGCCCAAGTAAACATTTGAATCTAGGCACAAAGATATGAAAGGCTGGCTTAATGAATAGTTTAACTCTGCGCCAGGCCACGTTCTAAGCATTTTCTGGGTGTTGGAACTAGGAGGTAAATTGCTGTTCTTACCATCCCCATTTTACAACTGAGGCAACAAGGGTGAGTAACTTGCTGAAGGGTCCCCAGGGTGTAATGGTGGAGCCCACGCTTAAACCCAGCAGCCTGGCCTCTGAACCTAGCATAACAAGTATGTTTGTTGAGTCTTTGCTTAATAGTGAGGGTTTTGAAAGAAATCTCCATGTCCACCAGTGGGAGATGGTCAAGTAGGTTGTTCTGGCACCTCTGTACTGTGGGATGTGAGGCAGCCATTGAAAAGAATGAGGGGAGTTCTTGGTAGTGACCTAGGAAGATTTCAAAGTGGTGTTACAGGAAAAAAGTAGTCTTATAATTTGAGCCTGTTTTATGTAAAAAGAAAAATCTGAATGAGTATTCAGGTGTACAGAAAAAGATCTTGAAGGAAGGCAACCAAACTTAAAAGTGTTTACTTTGGGAAGGGGAGTGGAGAGATGCTGCTGATGAAGAGGAACTTTACGTGAGGAGTTTCTTTGTAACAGTGTTTTCTGATTGCAAATAAGTTGAAAAAAAGAAAAGGACTCTACCAGGTAGTTTTTTTAGCAGTAGATAAGGACACATTTCTAAATTAATTTGGGGTTTTAAAAATCGGATTTGCCGGGGGGGTACCTGGCTGACTCAGTAGAATGTGTGACTCTTGATCTCTGGGTCGTGAGTTCAAGCCCCACGTTGGGCATAGAGCTTATTAAAAAAAATAAAATTGGGGGCGCCTGGGTGGCTCAGTTGGTTAAGCGACTGCCTTCGGCTCGGGTCATGATCTTGAAGTCCCGGGATCCTTGAAGTTCGGGCTCCTTGCTCAGCAGGGGGTCTGCTTCTCCCTCTGACCCTCCCCCCTCTCATGTGCTCTCTCTCTCTCATTCTCTCTCTCAAATAAATAAATAAAATC